CTTTCCCCCACCTTCTACTGCATCTTTTCTCTCCTCCTTTTATCTTCCCCACCCCACCTTTCTCCCAACACCCATTCTTTTACTCTCCTTTCTTTATTTCTTTTCTTTGTTTCCTCCTTCTTTTCTCTTTGCTTCTTGATCCCTGTCCACCTTTCCCCATCCCTCCTCTCCCCCAAACACCATCCCCCTACCTCCCACTTTATCTTTTTTCTCTCCCCCCTCCTATATCTTTTTTTTCTAACTCACTTTTTCATTCCCCTTCCCCCCTACTTCGAATTTTTCTGTTTTTCTTCTTTCCACCTCTCCTTTGATTTATCTTTTTTTTTTTTTCCAAAAATTTGAAATATCTTCTTTCCCACCTTCTTTCCTCATTTTCTGATTTATTTATTTATTTTTCTATTTATTCTGAAAATTTGGCTTTCGGCACACGTTTTGACACCGTGGGGGTAACAAAGTGCTGCCGAAATCTTCTGATTTTTTTTTTTTCTTACTTAGTCTTCTTGGCACACTTCGACCCGATGGGGGTAACGAAATGCTGCCAAAATTTTTGACAAATTAGATACTTCATTCCTCCCCACCTCCTCATCCACTTATCTACTTATTTATTTATTTATTTATTTTTTGAAAGTTTTTTCTTTTTATTTGCGGCATATTGACACCTAGTGTGCTCACCTTGGTCTCTCCTTTCCCCTTGGCACATTCTTGACCCCGTGGGGGGTAAGGAAATGCTACCGAAAATTTCAAAAAAATAAATATTGTTTTTCCTTCACATCTTTTACTTATTTCTTTACTTATTTTAATTATTTATTTATTTTTTTATTTATTTTTATTTTCTTTTAAAATCTCGCTGTTTATTTATTTTTTCTCCTGCCCTCCCCCCTCTATGCTTGCTATTTTACTTTCTTGATTAGGTCACCGGTACCCTACCCTAACCACTTAAACTTCGGTAAGGGTTTTCTTAGGGTTTTTGTAGGGTTTAGGGTTCTTCAAAGTCCCCCCTACTTCCCCGTCCTCTTCGGGCACCCTAGACCCGAACCAACCCTCCCCCTTTGATGACGCCCGTGCTAGCCTTGCTAGCGCCGTTCGCCGCTTTCTACCGCGGACTCCCCCCTACGCCCTCCGCTCACGCGGACCTCTCCTGACCCCCTCCAGTCCGGCCCGTCACCTTCTCATGGCCGAAGGTGTGTCACAGGCCGCCGACGCGGCGACGACCACGGCACAGGGCTCCACACCCGTGCCGACGGACCAGGGCCATCAACCCCACGGGGATCTGCACACCCTCCTCACCTCCCTCCTTGCGCTCATCCAGCCGCAACTCGCGACCCTTGCGCCCATCCAGGCGCAACTCGCGACCCTCGCGCCCTTACAGGCGCAGGTGGCGACCCCTGCTGCCGACGTGCAGCAACTCCAGGATGTTGCGTGTCCTCCATCTCCTGGCTCCAAGTCCGGGTCCCCCGTCCTCCGACAGGGTGGCCACGGCGGAGCTTCCTCCTCCATCGCCCCCGACCCGACCATCTTGGTGACCGTCCACGCCCCTAGCACGACGGCCGCCACGAGTCAGGTCCTCCCTCAGTCTACGGGCGCACCCGCCCAGTCCCCGGTCATTACAGCCACGGTACCACAACCCCCTACCATAGTCGCAGCTTTTCCGGGTGCCCCACTTCTCCCTCCTCTTCGCACGACCGCAGCGCCGCCCGGCTCTACCCCTTGTGGGATGCCTCGCGCCGCTCGTGCGTCTCCCCCTGCCACACCTCGCTCGACCTACGTTCGAGGTCTCGAGGACGAGATCGCCAAGCTGCGGACCGACCTCGCCCTCTCACGCCTTCAGTCACCCCTTCAGTCACCCCTACCCTCACAGGTGGCCTCGCCTTTTGGCGCACCCTCTTCTTCCTCTATTCTTCCTTCCATGCAGGCTCGCTTCCCTCGCCCTGCACCCTACGCATCCCCATCCTACCTCCTCCCCATCCCCTCGGTTGCGGCGACCTCTTCTACCGCAGCTCCTGTGCAGCCTACCGCTGTTTCCCCCGCCGCTCTACCATGAGGCCCGGGCGTACAGTCAACTGCCCCCCCTCCTCCAGGACCTGCGTCGACTTATTCAGCCGTAGCGCAGTCCCCTGCTCCTCGATCCCCTCTCCGCCAAAACGGTGGCGCACCACTCATCCGTTTGTCAGACATTGCCTTCTATGACGGTACATGCATACGCGTGTCTAGGTGGCTGCAGTCTGCCACCCGCACGCTCCGGCTCATGGGCGCCACACCCGACACGTGGGTGGATCACCTTTCCACACGCCTGCATGGCAGTCCTTACGAGGCCTGGGCGGATTTCTACGCGCACTCCCTTCGCGCGGGTTGGACTCCAACCTTCATAGATTTCCAGGCGTTCCTCGAGGATCGCTTCGGAGCCCGACACAATGTGACTGACGCCTTCGAGCGTGTCGTCACTACACGCTGGTCCAGCTCTGGTGGCGCTGCCGGCCTGGATCGCCACATCCAGGTCTTTCACGACGCCCGCCTCATTTATGACATAGCGTTCCTCCCCGAGGCGGCCCTTATCGATCGGTTCTTGATCAGCCTTCCGCTCGAGTACCGCTCCGAGCTATGGCGGTACGAGTTCACATCGGCCCCGCAGGCTTATGAGGCCGCCAGGGACCATCAGCGGATGCGAGCCCGTCTTCACCCCGCCTCCGCCTCCCAGCCACAACGTACTGGTTACGCCTCATCCTCCTCTCATGACACTTCCCAGCGTCGTTCCCCCTTCTGCGGTCGCCCCCGCCGTTCCGCGCAGCAGGGCCGCCACTTCTCGTGCCGCTTTAGCGCGCTCGAGTATGGTGAGCAGGACGCTGGTGCCCCACTGTCGCCAGAGGGTGACCATAGCGACGACCTCAATCTCGCCGATGTCGTCCACCACCACCTAGAGGACTCTACTCTCCCTATGGCTGAGTGCCTCCAGCTCATCCTCTCCACCCTCTCCCGGGCACGCAACCGCCCTGGTCACGCTGGCGCATCATCCCCCGAGGTCCCTCAGCAGGATCTCCCTCAGGGCTTTGTCCCTCCTCGCAGTGTCTTCTTCGCTGAGGAGCGCGCGGCTATTATGGGCCGACGTGGGTGTTTGCGATGTCGTCAAGACGGTCATACCTCCTCGCGGTGCCCTTACACCACCGCCCTTGACCGCCACTAAGCTGACCTTTCCTGCCAGCGTCGTGCTCAGTCCCCCCCGACGCCTCGCATCCCCGCGGCGTCTCCTAGCCACGGTGCAGTGTACACCTGCGACCTCCTCAGTAGTCGGCTTCCCGACATCTCCGTCGCGGTTCGCCCCTCTCGCTACTGGAGTTGAGGTATCGCAGGACTCGACAGAGTGTACTCAGCCCTCTGTCACAGTACTGTTTGTGCCTCCGCAGACCACCGTCTCCCCTCCTTCCCCGCCGCGACTACCGACGCGTCGAGCCATTCGCTCAGCCCGTTGCAGCGAGCAGCTCGCTACTCGCGAGGACGTTGTGTCTTCTCTTTTGGACTTGAGCATGCTCCAGGCTCGTCAAGAGCGACTCACCCTCCATGCCGCTGCCCTGCGTCGCCTTCTCACCATCCTCTCTTACCCTCATCGCACCCTCCCGATCATCCCAGTACGATTGGGGATCTCCACGAGGGTGTACTCAGTGCTATGGGATTTCGGTTCTCAGGGTGACTTCATTCAACCCCGTGTGGTGAAAGAAGCCCGCTTACCTACGACCGGGTTTCCGTCTCCCATCTCTGTCACCCTTGGGGATGACAAGACTCAATGCTTCTTCGATCAGACGGTCACCGACCTTCCTTTCTTCCTCACTCTCGAGTCGACTGATCGTTTCCCGGCGTCTCGTCGCCACCGCTCCTCTGCACATTTTGATGTGATAGAGACAGGGTACGACTTCATTCTCGGCACTTCATGGTCTCATCGGTTCCGCAGCACCGAGGCCGATTGGGAGACCAACACTCTTGTTCTCAAAACGAAGTGTGGACAGACGTATCCCGTACCTTTCATAGGTACCACCGCGACACCACGACTCGATCCTCCTCCCTCGGAGCCTTCCGTGCCCACACCATCTCCTTCCATTATTGTCACCTCGCCGCGGCAGTTCGCCTACTTCATCCGACAGGACGACGTCACCTTCTTTATGGTGGACGTGGCGGATCTCTTACAGTATAATCCACCCTGTCCCCACGCCGAGCTCATCCTTCTGGAGTCAGATCCTCCTTTTATCTCCATGGCTCCCATCTCTACTTCCGTCCCTCCACCGTCCGTCGAGTCCACTCCGCCGTCGCGCGCTGACGCTGACGTTGAGGAGCTCGAACGATATACGACTGACCTTGAGCCCGCAGTTCGTGACCTCATCCGAGAGTATCACGACGTTTTCCCGTTCTCGAATGCCGGCATCCCACCGATGCATGACGCCAAGCACTCCATTCAGCTTGTGCCTGACTATCGTGTTCACCACCAGACTCCCTACAGACTCTCGATCCCCGAGGCCACCGAACTCAAGCGTCAGCTTCAGGAGCTCCCGAGACTGGGTTTCATTAAACCCAACAACTCCCCGTGGGGTGCACCCGTCCTCTTTGCTCGTAAAGCGGATGAAACTCTTCGTCTCTGCATCGACTACCGCGGTTTCAACTGCTACACGGTTAAGAACAGCTACCCCATGCCTCGTTCTGATGAGTTGCTCGACCGCCTAGCAGGCAACCGTTTCTTTACGAAGATTGATCTTCGTAGCGGTTACCATCAGATCCGCGTCGCTGCAGCCGACAAGCCGAAGAAAGCGTTCCGATCACGCTTCGGCAACTACGAGTTTACGGTGATGCCATTCGGCCTCACCAACGCACCCGCCACCTTCCAGAAGGCGATGAACGACATCTTCAGGGACATCTTGGAGTAGTATGTTCTCGTCTACCTTGACACCATCCTGGTCTACAGTCGTACCCTTGAGGAGCACCTTAGACACCTCCGCGACGTCCTTGACCGCTTGCGCAGACATGGCTTCTACGCCAAGCTGAGCAAGTGCCGCTTTGCCCAGCACAAAGTGGATTTCTTAGGACACTACGTGTCTGACCAGGGTCTCCACATGGACGACGCAAAGATCACTGCTATTGCGGAGTGGCCCACCCCCACATTCGCCAAGCAGCTTCGCAGCTTAATAGGCCTGACAAGCTACTATAGTAATTTCATTCGGGGATACGCTAGGTATTCCTACGTCCTTACCTCCACCCTCCTCCGGAATAACCCACCCTGGGCTTGGACACCCCTCCACGAGGACGCCTTCCGCGCCCTAAAAAAGGCGGTGACATGCGCACCGGTTCTTCACCTCCCCGATTTTGATCTCCCTTTTATCCTTACCACCGATGCGTCAGCAGTGCTTTCTCAGGTCTTCCCCTCCTCTCCTGATTCCTCTCATCCTCGTATCCCTCGCTTCCCACCACCTACCCCTCCCACTGCCTCCCGACTGACGCCTACTCGTCCCGCTACCGACGAGCCTTCTATTGACTATTCTCCTACCATCGCAGAGGACAGCACTGTCGAGTCTCGCTCAGGTGATTGTCCGATAGCCTTCTACTCCCGTCAGCTCCTGCCCGCCGAGATAAACTACACCGCTGATGAACGTGAGGTTCTCGAAGTAGTTTATGCCGCTCGGCACTGGCGTCACTACCTGCACGGGGCACCATTCACGGTACGTACGGACAACTCTGTTGTCTAGGCTTTTATGACAAAACCGAAGCTCACTCCTCGACAGGCTCGCTGGTGGCGCGACCTATCCGAGTTTAGTTTCACCACTGAGCACATCAAGGGTGAGACTAATCGGGCCGTAGATGCCTTATTCCGGCGCCCTGACCACGACCAGGAGCAGATCCAGCTCTCTTCCATATCAGTCACCACCGTCCACCACTCGGTGATCGATGAGTTTCGCACTCAGTACCGCCACTGCCCCGACTATCGCGACATCCACGCGACCCTTCTGAGTGGCAAGACCGTCCCGAACTACTCTCTCGGGGACAACGGTCTTGTGTACTGGCACGGTTCACAGGGCACTAGAGAGCCCCGTATTTGCGTTCCCTCCACTAGACAGCTACGTGTCCGAGCAGTAGCAAACTTCCATGACCAGACAGCCGCCGGTCATATGGGCTTCCACAAGACGTTGGCTCGTGTGAGCCGCCTGTACGTCTGGCCGAAGTGCAAGGACTTTGTGAAGGACTACGTCGCAGAGTATCCCACCTGTCAGGAGGTGAACAGTGCGAACCACCTGCCTTATGGTTTGCTCCAGCCTCTTCCTATCCCTGAGGGTTGTTGGCAGTCTATCTCGATGGACTTCGATCCTCTTCGTCCTTCGACCCCCCGCGGTCATGATGCTATCCTAGTCGTCGTCGACCGCTTCACGAAGCGCGCACGCTTTGTTCCGTGCCGCTATGCCATCAGTGCACGTGAGGTCGCCGACATCGTGTTTGACCGAGTCGTCCGTGACCACGGCTTACCAATGAGCATCATATCTGACCGTGACCCGCGCTTTACCAACCGATTCTGGCGATGGCTCCACGAGGTGTACGGCACTCAGCTCCGCTTCTCCTCGTCTTACCATCCTCAGACTGATGGTTATACCGAGATCACGAACAGGACTCTCGGAGATATTCTCCGAAAGATTGTTCGTGAGGACTAACAGTAGGATCTTCATCTTGCCCACGCGGAGATAGCCTACAACCACGCCGTCTCGCCAGCCACGGGGATGTCGCCTTACTAATGCGACCTTGGCTATCACCCTCGTGTTCCCGCGGACTTCCTTCGACCGTTCCAGATGCACCCAGACACGAGTTGTCCCGCGCTGGATGATTGGGTTGCACACATGACGTCGATCATGAAGACCGCACATGAGCACATAGCTGCCTCCCAGACTCGCATGGAAGCACGTGCGAACCGATCGAGGATGAATCATTCATTCAAAGTCGGTGATGATGTGCTTATCGACGCCCGCCACTTACAACTCGAAGCGAATACGCTTCGCAAGTTTCGGCGTCGCTTCTTTGGCTCATGCCGCATCCTCCAGGCCGTCGGTTCTGATACGGCCTCTAGCCCGGTCAGCTTCCGTGTGAAGCTGCCCGACTACCTACGCCAGGCTCGTATGCACGATGTCTACCACGTCTCGTTACTGCGTCCTTATCACAGACCGTCTGAGCGTTTCGCTGGACGACCATACGAGGGCCCTGCACCCATTATGGTGGACGGCCACGAGGAGTTCCTCGTTCCAGACATCATTGGTCGCCGAGTCACCGACGACAACCCTCCCCACGTCGAGTATCTCGTACGTTGGAAGGGTTACCCTGATGAGGAGGTCACCTGGGAGTCCCCGAGCACTTGCAGCACACTCGCATCTTGGTGCGTGCTTATGACCGTGCTCGTCGTGCTAGGTTCACTGCCCCTCCTCAGCCCACTGACCCTCCTCCTTCTCCCCCGACTTAGGAGACCGCTGAAGTCGAGCCTGCTCCATCTGAGGCAGACCTTCAGCAGCAGCAGGATGCTTCTGAGTGTCCACAGCGCACTCGTCGTCGTCCTGCTCGATACGACGATTGACTCTGACTTATCTTCCCACGTCCTTAACTTCTCAGTACTCCATACACTCCAGTTTTGCTACTTCAGCTTGTCGACGTTGCGGCTCTTCCTCGACGGCATTCCGGACTTCTCATCGTGGACGTCATCGGCAGCTTCATGGACTTCGTCACGATCAGCTCTGCCTACTTCAAATGGCATCACTCTCTTACCACTTTACCCTGTACAGTACCCTGCTTGTGTCGCATGATGGTCTCCCTTTAGCCGGGTTCCTCTGAGTTTGACTCTCCCTGGGTATACGCATAGGCATCGGGACCGCAGCGTTGCCCTGGCTTCCCATCTTTCGGATCTAGCTCCAACTTCCCTCACTTAGGAGTCATTTGCATGATTCCCTTACCCATCACCTTCCTACCCTCTGTCGGCCCTCACGCCCTAGTTAGGCAACCCCGCATGCTTCATCTAGGTGCGCCCAGTATACCAGGCTCCCTTGTTCCCTTGCATGGTCGACCCTCCATAGCGGTCACCCCTTAGCCGAGCTTTACCCGCCCTGATGGTCTATCTGTTAGGGTCATTGGTTTTGTTGCTCCAAGTCTCCTACCCTCATTGAGCCTGGTGACATGTGTTCTCCCTGTCACTGTGTGTGAATGCCCTTAGGAGTTTTCGACCCCTAGGCTGCATTCGCCACCCTCAGAGACCATCCCACCTTTCGGTTTGCAACACACTCCTCATGTGACATGGTTGCTTTGTTGATTGTTTTGTTGCTCTCAAACTGAGGCTACTGCCTCTAACATTTCTAGGATTAAGATGTTCTGTTTTTGTTGTTCTCAGGACTTATTCACTAGTCAGTTGTTCCCAGATTGAGGCTACTGCCTCCAACATTCTAGGATCTAGTTGTCACTACTTTCTGCTTTCCTAGGACATGTATGCTAGTTAGTTGCTTCTGCTTTTACTTAGGCTGTTAGATGTGACGTTGCTGTTTTGTGACATTTTCTAGCCTAGGTTGCATCGCATGGACGCAGCATGGAGCTCGCTCCGCATCCTAGAATACTCAGGTTTTGTTTTCTTTGGTAGAGTTCCGCTTCTTGGCGGAAGCACGTTTGTATCTAGGCGATCCATCACAGGCCGAGGATCGTGTAGCGGACCTCTGGTTGGCCTGTGAGACCAGCCCCTTGGCCTGTTCTCACAGGCCTGTGTTCTATTCGGGGGCAGTCCAGGCCAGGTCAGGCCAGTACCTCTGTCGGTACCAGCCAGTCCAGTCCAGTCCGTCAATCTGTTGGGGTATACCCTAGCCATTGTCTGTTTTTTGGATCATTCTTCACCTGCACATTTAGGAGTACGTGCGTTGGAGTCTTGCGTGGGGAGCTACGTTGTGCCAACTCGCTACCCCCCTTCTTCCTCCATCTCCATCTCTATCCGTAGCGGAGCACCACACCTGGTGGGTCCGCTACAATGAAGGCAACAAATTTTTGCCTCTGGTGAGTGCTCATTGGTCGAATCTCATGTCTACTTGGCTTGGAAGCACCCATCCTCCGAACAAAGCATAATAGCTTACTGGTCTAGCTTCATTGTGTCAAAAAAATGGATCCAGACGCAACTTTAAATCGTTTGCCGAAGAGACCAGACCAAACAAAATCAATGTTGCAAAGGCCAGGCCTCTCCGGGCAGGAAGTGCATCAGGATATGCTGCATACGAAAGCATTGCATCTGGAGGTTTCACTCCTTCATAGACTGCCTTAACCCCATTTCTTGCAGATATCATAATGTGGGATATCGAAAGTGGCTATCAACGTGTTTTTTTTTTTTTTTTTTTTTTTTTTTTTTTTTTTTTTT